AGAGGCTTTTAGCTTTTGAAAATCCCTTTAAAGCCTGTTTGACCACTTTCACACGTCTTTTTTCCACTTTTCTTACCAAATCTATGCCAGAGGATGACTGAATATTTTTTTTAAAAGATACAAGAGCACATGCAAAAATTTAAACTAACCAAAAAGCCAATTATATTAATCTGACTACATTTTTAGTCATTGTTTTTGTGCTTCTTTTACCTATTTTTGGTTGTTTTGCTGCCTTTTCCACTATTTTTTCATTGTTTTTCTGCTTCTTCCACTTAGCTGCTAACCCCCCCCCCAGGTGACCTCTATGGGCCCTCAGCAGGAGGGACCAGAGCCACCTTTGGTTTCCCCCTAATTCTTTATTTCCACCTACAGTATATCAACCTCAGAGCTGCACCATCAGTTAGAGCTGGAGTAGCTTCTTGGATCAGAAGAAAATTTCACCTCCAGCGGCCTGAACTGAACTTTCCATGTTGACCTGGATGACTTAGGATCTATGTTATCAGCTTAGAACTCACCTTTTCCAGCTGGTTTATTTTCTTATCTGTCTGACAGAAAACATGTCCAATCGTTAACACGTGTATGGTTTTCCTTTGGGAACTGATAAAGAACAAAAACAGCTTTTTAGACCCTTTTTTAAAGAAAAAACACTAATTTAAGGGGATAAGGCGTTCCCGGGAAATGGGGCTCGGGGGGGTTTGGGGGGGGGGGGTGCACGGGGTGGGGTTTCCGTTTGGGTTACGGCGTTACGTCACCGCTTCGGGCTTTCCTCTTTGACGTCACAGGGCGTCGGGGCGGCAGCCAGCAGAGCGCGAGGAGACGCGGAGCGAGCGCGAGCTGCGGAGACTAGCGCAGAAATCCCAGCGCCGGGCTCCCGGAGGCAGGAAGACCAGAGGCCGCCGCCAGGAGAGAAGCCCAGGAAGGAGCCCCCCAGGGCCGGGAAGAGCCCCAGAAAAAGCCCCGGCAGAAGCCCCAGAAGGAGCCCCAAAAGGAGCCCCAGAAGGAGCCCCAGGGCCGGGAGCAGCACCAGGAAAAGCCCCTGGAGCATCCCGAGCCCCGGCCGCCCAGTGCCTTCGGGTCCAGGACAGGAGAGACGTCCCCCCCCCGGCCTGAGCGGAGGACAACCCCCCCCACCACCACCACCACACACACACCCTGTGCGGGTAAGTGACCGCTGCTGCCGGGGATTAAAAGGCTCCTGTCCGTGTCCGAAGGGGCCGGAGGAAGCAGGCCGAGCCCTGTGTGTGTGTGTGTGTGTGTGTGTGTGTGTGTGTGTGTGTGTGTCTGGCTTTGAAATGACCGTTTATTAGATGCATGACGGTCACAAGTCACCTCAAATTAAACCTCCCAAACATCATTAGAGAGGGAGGGGGGTCAGGGGGGGTCAGGCTTGGGCTGGACCTCTCAGAACTAGAGGGGACGTTTCAGGGAGCAGCACCATGTAACCTGAGAGAAACCCAGCTCTCCTTGTTTTAGCTGGAGGGAAAAGGCACAGCTGTAAAACACAGTGAGAATATTTAGGGTTTGGGCCGTTAAACGAAGCCTGATGGGACTAATGTGAGTAATATGAGGGAGGAGGGTGCGGTTTGGATCTGCAGACCAGCTGAAATGAGGGTTTGCTCATTTAAAAGTGTTTGTTTTTGGTGTGATGACCAAATATGCTAGAAGCAATCAGATACATGACCTTTAAAGCCCAGATTACAAGCAGGATCCAGCAATGTTTCTAAAGTTGTTCATAGTAAGTGTTTGAAAGCATAACATTTTTAAATATCCACTCAGATCCTTTCATGTCTTATATTTAAATTAAAACACTAAAAAACAGTTTGACAGCTGAACTTTCTGCTTTGTAGTACTTAAATATGCAATTACATGAATTAGGTCTTGTTTTTGTTTCTTTATTGTTTCCCGTTTTGATTTTATATCAGTATATCAGAACAGATTTGTCCATAAACTGACAAAGTGGGCAAAAATGATATTTTTAAAGGCGCTGATGGAGGAATGCCTCCACAAACCCTGTCAGAAATGTCTGATTCCTGATGGAGTCCAGCCTCTGGCCCTGTCCTCGTCTTCTCTCTCTGGTTTGATGTGGGAACATGCTTCCTGAGGGTTCTGCCCCCCCATCCTGAGAGCAAAGAGCTCAGCTGGAAGCATCCAGCTGTGATGGAGCTGCTCCAGCAGAGCAGAACTTCAGGTTCTGATCTGAATCCATCAGGAAGACGAGCAGAAAATGGAGCAATCTGAGCTTTGGATCAAAGTTCGTGGGTCAGAACAATCTGGGCCTGGTCTCAGGCCGGTTTCCTCCGGTTCTGGGCTGGTTTTGGACCCAGTCGGAGCGGGTTTTCCTCCGGCAGCTTTCCCACCGCTCGTCCCTCGTTGTGAGGAGGCGTTCATGGGCTGTGTGGCTCCTGAACGCACCGCTCCGGCCTGCGTCCCTCTCCCAGATTCAAGCGCGTGGGAGGCGGCGCTAATGATAAACGGTGGGAGACGGAGAGCGTTCGGTTTCCTCCCACGGAAATGTTCCGGACGGAGCCTCTTCGAGCATTTCAGCCCAAATGGAAACGCTTTGTTTGTATCTCCGGGTGTTTAAAGGGACATTTGTTGTATTTTAAATATTTCATTAGCTAAAATCATTCTCTTAATTTCAATGCAGAATACAATTTCATCGTTAGATGGAAAGATTCCTGCACCGTGTCCTTTTAAAAGAAATTACAAACTGCATTGAATCATTAGTGTGAGCGTGTAAATACCCCTCCAACAAGATAGAGAACAACGTTGGCATGTTAGCTTGGATTAGCTAGACAGCTAGATTAGCTAGTGCTTTAGGTCCCTCTCTGCCGATATAATTTTTCAAAATAGCAGATCGCCATGTGGACTTACCCGTCCTGTGTATATACAGATAATTTTTCACTTATGAGGAGAAGTCAGATCATTCTTAAGGTAATTTTACACCAAATGAAGACACATTTAGAAATTAAGAAAACGATCTTAGCTAATAATATAATTAAAATAACCACACAATGTCCCTTTAAGGGCGCCGCGGGGGTCGATTTCTGGCACAGATTCGCCGCTGTGTGTGCAAACACACAGGCTGAATGCGCTCTGATGACACTTCCCAGGAAAAACCTGCCCTTCCACAGAATTCCCCCCCTGTTGTTCTGGTTTTTGCATTTTTGCCTGAACGCAGTGACTAAATTCCTCCCCCAGTTGTTTGGAAATGCCTTCCAGTTACTTCTCTGTTTGAATTTATAACAAAACCAAAGACAGAAATGAAAGAACAAGGAGTGCTTCCTCATTTGCTTTACCAGCAGGCCTTATCGATGACCCAATTAGAAGCATCTGCTTTTACAAAAAAGGCTTTGAGCACGTCTCTTTATGACATAACTGCTGGCCGAGGTGTCACG